GATTGGAAGGTTAAAGTTGACATCTCCCGATAATCGGGCATAGGAATTTACGAGGAGCCACAGCTCAAGCTTACCATGGTAGGACTCGATTCTACGTCGAATGCCTCTTTCTTAGCCTCCAATGTGGTAATGTGTATGATATGCTCTGCATTATCAATTCTCATCATAATTTGATTTTTAGGAAAATCGATTAATGCACCTAAGGTGTCCAAGAAAGGCCTCCCAAAGATGATAGAGTAGTCTCTATCTGTTTTCTAGAAATACGAAGTCGAGAGTGAACACGAAGAGTCCTATCTCGAATTTCAAATTCCTTACCATGCCTATTGGAAGAGATTTTGAGTTTCTTTGGGTGTTGTGAAGCTCCAGAAGGGGAGCCAATTGGCACTCTATACTCTTAAGTTTTGCCTCCTGACCTCGGATGTATGCACATAATTCATCCATGTTTAGTCTTCCCAAAGGAACAGGAGGGTTCACATCCATGTTTATTTCCATTGAATCCTGGCAGTGTGGAATTCGACCTCTTTACCCAACTAGGATTGGGTGGAGTCTTGCCATCCCAATGCGCGTCTTGAAGATACGACACATTGATTGATGAGATTTTTGGGTAATCATTGGGCTTTTGACCTCCCTAAAGAGGCCAAGGACCAACTAGTGTTTGGCTCCAAGCTCAAAATCATTATTAGGTTGATTATCAGAGATCCTATAAGCGGGAGAAGTATATGAAGGTTGAGAGTTATGGTATCCATATCTATTTCCATTGAAATCGCGATCTTGAGGATAACGAGTACCCACGAAGTCGACCTCCTATATTGCGGATTCGCCTATAACCCATAGTTGTGTCCGTCTTTGCCATATCGCAAACGAAGAGTTGTGTCGAGAGTGTGTCTCATCTCAACTTGAGCTCTTCCACATACTCAGCTACGACTGTGATTTGTTCGGCAATACCAGCGAAGGGGTCATCAAATTTTTGTGACCTTTTCACGATGGCAGAAGCAGTCCTCCTTAACCAGTTTTGAGACTTTGCGTCCAAATGCTCGAGGGCTTAGAGATCAATCTTTTGAGAGACATCACCTTTGGCAACCTAATTTACCATCACCATGGTATTTAGGTCAAGGCATTTACCAAAGATGTCAACCTCCTTTCTTATGAAAACTCATGATGAGGGAAAGAACGTAGTAGTCTTGGAAGAGCTCACACGCCTCATACAATGACTCACGCGGCTGTTGACGGAATCGAGCAATTGATCTCTTAATTCGTCGATTCTCCATGGAGGGAAGAACTCTTCGATAAACGCTTGGACCAAAGCCTCCCACGTTCGGAAAGATCTTGGTGGTTGGCAGTAGGGCTGCAAACGAGCCGACCCGAGTCGAGTTTTTTCTTAGGTTAAGCTCGACTCGTTTATAAAATTTTAAGCTGGAGCTCGACTCGAACTCGAATTTTGATAGTCTAGCTCGAACTCGGCTTGAATAAAAATAATTTAGCTCGAGCTCGACTCGATAGAGCTCGGTAAATGCTCATTAACACAGCTTGTCAAACTGAGTACAAGCTTGGCTCAAGATGAGCTCTATTTGAAATCATTTTTGTTGTAAAATGTGTAAACATAAAAGTTTAAATGATAAATAAAACTACAAAAACTAAAAATAACAGCTAACTTCCATACACATCCATATTGGCAAGATAATATCCATGTTGAGAAGAGTAATAAATCCTTCTATAAGCTCTGAACAAGCCAACTCGTGAGCTTAGCTCAACAAGCCACCGGTCAATTAAGTGGGTTGAGGGTTAATGGCCCAATCATTTTAGTCCGTTTTTTCCGGATATATGAAAAATTCATTATATTGTTCATATATTCATAAATTATATAAAATCTCATCAAGATATGGATAATATTCTTCCTCGCCCGGACTATCTACATTTGTTTCTCTATTTGCTACTTTTCACTATCCTCCTTCGAGCTCTTAAAAAGCACTCCAACAACATATACTCATCACGCGATGAAGGTCGCACTCCTATGGCGGCGGTGTGTGTCAGAAGTGAAATTAATGCCAAGTGGGAATTGAGCGTGGGGATGTTTGGGAGGGAAGAAAATATGTGATGGAAGGCGAGTTCTGCTAATAGTCTCTTTGTCTACAAAATTGACTCGAAGAATTTAGCTTACCAATTCGGGGAACGGGAGCTAGAACAGGAGCGTAAGAGCATATATTCTTCGAGAACTATAATTTGAGTGCGTCAAAACAATGTGAATATTATATTATTTTAATTAATATATCATTTAACTTACTAACATATTTTGGTCAAAATATTACAACAATGCAGCGGAAAAATAAAAATAAAAAATTTTAGTATGATAATAGCTTTAAATAAGCTGATTAGGCACGAAAAAAGGAGCAGACTTCAAAAGTTGAATAGAAATCCACCAAAGTTTACGATACCGTTTTTTATTTTTTATTGAATTTTTTAGTTTCATTTTTTTAAGAAAAAGAGAAATGAATGCATCATTTATCCACCCACATGCACTCAATTAGTTGTTAATAAAAAAGTCTATATCTTCTTCTTCCCCTTCTATTCTTTGTTTCCTAAGCCGATGTTGGAGATCTCCTGTAAATGTACCAAATTGGCAAATTCTATATTATCAGCCATCTAACTAACCTCCTATCCTTTTATTTAGCCCCAAGCCCGTGATTTGATGATCTATTTCATAGTCCACATTCACGAACTCGTGGTGAATCCTTTTCATCTTTACTCTCCAGATCTCTAACCGCACCACATGTATTCTTTTCTCCCACGAAGAAGCGGGTCATCGTCTTCAAACCAAAGTTGTTGATTTGGCTGTAACTTATTTCACTTTACTTTGTTTATAAAGAGAAAAATCTCCCAAATAAGTGATACAAGAAATAAAATTTGTGAATTTTTTGATTTTCGATTCTCTAATTTTTAGTTTGATTTACAATTTCTGGGTTTCAGAAGTTTGTAGTTATTGTAAAATAATTGTAAAGCAAAAATAGCATTCCTATTTTTCGCTCTCGTTGTAGGAAATTTGAAATGAGACAACAATTTATCATTTCAGTATTATATATTATGTAGAGTGTATATAAAGATATGTCCTTTCCCTTCAAATTCATTAGCACATTAAAAAAGATGAAATGAACTAACTTATTAAACTCCTAATGATTGTTGGATCCAATCATCCAACCATGTCAGAATAGGAAGAGGTTTAAAATTCGATAGTTAGCTTAACTAAAATGTTCAAAAATCAATCTCATATAGTTTACACAAAGATATGAATACGATTGTGTCATAGTAGGTCTAAAAATTAATACTAATTTAAGAATTATACATTACTTTTACATATTAAATACTGCAATTCGATATAGAACATTCGAATCAATGATATTTGGGCCGTGATTTTAAAGTTATCCACTGTTTATAAGATATATAGGAATTTAATTAAGTATTAAACAATAATGAAAATGAGGAATTTGATCTATGTTAGTCACACAAAGTTTCAACTCAAATTCATATTACTCTAATAATTTTTGCTTCTTATTTGTATGAGATGAGGTTGACAGGTCTATGACTGTGCATCTGGAGAAAAATGAAATTTACTATTGCGGGATTATGATGGCTTTTGAGAAGGTTGAGTCTTGTATTGCAGGCTCTCGAGAACAATGGTTTGTGATGTTTCATGTGGTAGGGTTCTGTGATAAGTAAAAGGAAGATATGACAACGTAGCTACGTATACGAATTGTTGAAAACAACATCACTTTGAAGTGGCCCGATGCTCGAATCAGTTGATGAAATCGGTCCGATTTACCGCTGAGATAGACAAAATCGACTTTGATCGAGCCCGAGTAGACAACCAACTAGGCTTTCGGCACCCACTGTCCGCTGAGATACTCAGGTTTAGGTAGAATTGGTTCGACCAGCAGAGTCATACTCAAATAGACAATCATGGTTATGACTCTTGTCTGTGTTTGAAGATACATTAGTTCAAATCCCAATACTTGTCTATTTTCCATACAAAATAAAGATAAATAATGGCGAAGACAAAATGTCATTCATACTTTTGCTCTCGCTGTAGAAAATTTGGAATGGGATGACAACTTTATCATGCCAGTAGCATATATTGTGTAGAGTGTATATGTAGACATGTCCTTGCTCTACAAATTCACTTTAATACATAAAAAAAAAAGTTGAAATACACCAACCTACTAAACTCAACCTCATCTAATGATTGTTGGATCCAATCATGTCTGTCATATTAGGAAGATGTTTAAAAGTTAAAATTAAATGATTAGCCGAGCTAAAACATTCGAAGAACCCGTCCCCATGTAGTTTGCATAAATATAGGAATATGATTGCCTCATAGTAGTTCTATAAACTAATACTAATGTAAGAGTTCAACTTCGCTTCTACAAATTCGATATGTAATATTGAACCAATGATATTTGATCTATGATTTTAAGGTTATCCACTATTTATAAGATAAATAGAAATTTAAATTAAGCATCAAAGCTACGATAGATTCGTAGCTAAGTATGATTTGTAGCTAAGTCTTATATAGAGATAGACTAGGGTTATTACCCTAACGAGAAGGATCTGAGTACAGCCAAAATTCGTACCTACTACAACTTGGACAAGGCCCAACAAGGCCCAAAACTAACACGGTAAGTAACCGCAACAATATCAAAACACCAATAAGTATCAAGCGAAGATTTAGTGACCTTAGCTAACCGTTGAAAAGTTCTGTGATTTTTTAGTTTTAGCTTCATGTATGTTTTTTACTTAAAATGATACAACTAGTCTATGTTGTTTGATTGGTTAAGGTTGTTGCCATTTTTGAAAATCTATGGTAGATGTAGATTTGGATGAATTGGTACATTTAACTCGACAGTTTGGACAGTGAGAAAGACAAATTGACAAAGTTGTCAAAAGTTAAAGTTAGTAATCAATAATTTTGCGAGGAAGCACAAATTTCAGTGACCATTTCTGTAATTAAACCCTTTCAATTTGAAATTATTTCATCCGCGCTCACCCAGTAGCCAGTACACTACACTGGCATTGGATCCCCTCCCCGTCCCCACCGTCCGTTGGCCAAACTTCTCAAATTCTCAGGCCGCCTTTCTCAATCAACTCCCAGGAGGTATTCTACGCTTTAACTCTCTCAATCTCCCGACGATTCATGGTGGAGATTGTGTAAATTCGGTCCAGGTAGTTTTGGGAAGATGAGGACTGAAGAGAAGCTGTTCGTCCAGATCTTCGAGAGGGAAAAGTCGATACTCGAGCAGGTCAAGAAGCAGACTGAACTCTTCGATCAGCATCTCGCCTCCAAATGCGTCCTCGACGGAATCTCTCCTCCTCCGTGGCTCTTATCACTTTCGTTCGCCTCCCTTCCATTGAATCCAAACGGTGAGTGATTTCGTTCCCGCTGCGCACTATGATGTGGTTGAATCTCGCCGGTGCAAATTTCCTGAGCGATTTGAATTACGAAGTTTTCCTAGAGATTTTGGACTCCAATTTGAGTTTTCCGGCATTAGTGGCGTAGGAAAGCTTGGTGCATCTACGAGATTTCGGAGCTAACTATTTGGCATGCAGGGTTTCTGTGGCGATTCAAACCTAGAAATGGAGAGTGTTAGGTTTTTTACTGGTTTTAAACAAGGGACTGCTCTGAGAGCGAATGCTAGTGAATTAGCTACTGAAACTTCTGCCTTAGGCATTCCAAAGAGTGGTCTACACCCGATTTCTAATTAGGGATTTCAAGCTAGTTGTTTAAGAATGAATAATCACTAGTTTAAGTAGAGGGCTAATTAGCATCGCTTCTTTTATTTCCTCCTTCGTCGTTTTCTCTTTCTGATTGCTACGGGACTTTGTACAAATTGCTTCAAATTCTGGCAGGGTTGAAGAAGGAAGAGCTTATATCTGGGCTCCTGCTTCCACGATCTCAACCACCAAGGTTTTACCCTAGTGTTCACCATCCTCATTCTGAAAACCCTTTTGTTCCTACTTCATCAACAAAAGAAAATCCTTTTGTTCCTGCTGCTAATGAGGTTCAGCCAAACTTCTTGGAAAGAGAGGTTCATGATGTCAACAAAGTTAGTGATTCAGTTGGCCGGTTGTCTGTTCCGACTCAATACCCCACCGCTGACACTCCCTCTGCTCTCAATCATGCTCTAGACTCTCAAGATCCTGGTTATTGTACTGAACACAGTCGATCATTGGTGAGGATTGAAAGATCCAGATCAAGGCAAAGGGCGTTGGAGATTCGCAGTAGTGCAAGATCAGTTAACCCACATGAAAATGCTGAGAATAATGATCCTGGTTCTTGTCAAAATAACATTTATTCCACTGAAGGAGAACTGAAAGTTGTCGAGTCTTGGAGGAAAGAGGGCAGCAGTAATCATGATAATGTTAGAACTCAATCAGGTGGACAGTGTCAACTATCCAGTCCTATGAATGAGCTTCCTAGTAAGAATAAGTCTTCTGATATTGTGAAGAAAGATGTGGTCAGAGAGGCTCACAGCTCAGATGAGAAGCATGCTACTGAAGAAATGCTTCAAGGCTTGGATAACAACACAGTATATGCTTTTGAAGTTCCATCATCTAACCTGCCAGTTGAAGAGGTACTTCTCATTATTATTGTGAAACTCCCTACTCTAACATGTAAGTCTTAAGTGCTGAAACATTGTAATGGTGTCCAAAATGTCTTTTGACGTACATATCTTAGCTGCAGGAGGCTATCAGCTCAGATGAGAAGCATGCTTCTGACGAAATGCTTCAAGGCATGGATAACAACACAATACATGCTTTTGAAGTTCTATCATGTAACCTGCCAGTTGAAGAGGTACTTCTCATGATTATTGTGAAACTCCCTACTCTAACATGTATCTTGTTAGAAAGATAATTTGTTTGTGGAATTTCTGCCAGATGATTTGGACCAAAGGCTATTCAATTAAACTTAAACTTACATTGCTGTCCCTATTTGTCTTCAGAAACATGTGTTTAGATCTGTGCTTTTCACAATTCCTCATTTCCCCCACAACAAACACTGACTAATTTAGGGATATGCAAAGCAAAAAAGTTGAGAATTATTCCACTGTTAGGTAAATAGCAATGACTCTTGATGTTCGTCGTGCTTGTCTGAGGATATAGCATCTCAATGTCCAAGATTTCTCTTTTGCTTTCTACTGATCGAGTAGATCAAGCATTTCTTGTTCTGTTCTTTCTGAGTATAGAAGCTTTAGCTAATGATGGTTGGTTTTCTCCACTCACTGTGCAGACATGTCCATTATCATGGTTTTGTAGGGTATTCATACACTTACACACATGCATCATGTGAAGATGCTTTTATAGTATATATGGACAATGGAACAACTGGGTGGTTTCTCGTTTGATTGTATGTCAACATTACAAATGGAAGTACTTCTTGCTACAGCATGATCATCTAATAAAGAGTCAGCTTTTGTTGATAATTTTCACATTTGAGATCATTAGTCAAACTATAAGGAAGGAATTTGACGTGAATTGGTGTTTCCATACGCTCCCCGAAACTGACATCAGTAATCTCAGATTCCTATAAATTCATTTAGATGGATTCATTTTCTTACAAACCCTTAGGAGGGACTAATTGAATAAGTCGCTTTTAATACTTTTTCTTCACATTGATTACCCGTTGCGTTTTCCCCTTTTTCTAACCGGTGATGAACTTCTGCATGACAGGGTGAACATACCTTGGGAGGGAGGGACAGAAGTGAAAATACAGCTCTCAGTTTTATGCATGAACATCTAGAAGCCAATCCACTCTCTAGTTTGACAAAGCTGTCAAACGGCTCGTTTCAAGGTTCTTTGTCAGGGCAGGCCAAAGTGTGGGAGCCAACTGGAATATCTGGGCTGCAGATTTCTGGTGAAAGCCAAGTTTTTTCGCCACGGGTCTCTGATAGCTTCTATATGGGAAAATTGGTTACTGAAAGCAATATGCAGTTGACGAACTCTGATTCCGGGGTGTATCAGAATCCACCAGATCATCCTGTTGCTACTCCACTTCCTATGGATCCGATTGCCGCTGATAAAAATGGACCCGAGTTGGAGAAATTTGTTCTGGAAACAAATGATGAAGAGCCTTCTGCTAGAGTAAATGGGACAAGCTTTCACCAACTAAGTTCTTCAAATATTGCCCTTGAACATGCTGTCACCAATAAGCAGTTTGAAGCTACCAGTTCCAATTTCTCGAGTGATCAAGTCAGCAGCTTTACATCTCATGTGACTTTCATGTTTCCTACTGAAAATGCTCTGTTCATCCAGGGTAGTAGCGAAGTTAACATTTCTCCACTTAGGAAATTCTGGGAACCGATGCCATCAAAGTCTCTGAGTTCAGAGAGAAGGGCAAGTTCAATTCCTGAACTTCCCAGTATAGATGAAGAGACTGAGAATATGGATGATGACATTGTTATCACCAGTCTAAAGAAAGCAATAAAGACTGTTGAAAGGAAGCCACTTGCTGACATCACAGAATCTGCAGATCATCCAGCTTCAATACGTGACGAAGATGAGGTAATAGATGATAGGTATAGTCTTGCTTCTGTGTGCACAGAGTTCAGTGTGGCTTCTAGCACTCGCAACACTAAGACTGGGAATCAGACGAGCAGCAGACGCAGATATGATTATGCTGCTGGTAGTAAGCGGAAGTTAAAGCAGCAGCAGCCAAGGGTCCCACTTGGAGTTAAAAGGAATGATGGTTCGTTACAGAACAGGTTGTTCAGCAAGCCGCCAAAGTTGTCCAGGAAGAACGAGCCGAGAAAAGTTAGCGCTGGTTTATTGGAGAAGGAGCCTAAACATAACAATATTGTGTCGAATGTTACTTCCTTTGTTCCGTTGGTGCAACAACAAAAGCAAATGGCCGCAGCTGCTGCTGTTATAGGTAACTTCTTCTAGCTTCGACGGGTTTACGGTTATTGCTCACGTTGCCTTTAGAATTGGTAGTCGGGATGCGTTCGTGATATAATATTATGCTTAAAACACTTGCAGGAAAGAGGGATATCAAAGTGAAGTCGCTTGAAGCAGCAGAGGCTGCTAAACGGCTTGCTGAGAAGAAAGAGAATGATCGAAGGTTGAAGAAGGAAGCTTTGAAACTTGAGCGAGCAAGGATTGAAGAGCAGAACTTGAGGCAGCTGGAGATGGAGAAAGGAAGGAAGGAAGAAGAACAGAAGAAGAAGGAGGCGGAGATGGCTACCAAGAAACGGCAGAGAGAAGAAGAACAGAAGAAGGAGAGAGAAAGGAAAAGAAAGCGGATTGAAGATACAAGAAGGCAGAACATGGAACAGAGAGACAAAATGAATAACGGTTACAAAGAAGAAGCCAAGTGCTGCGGAGAAGCTCCGGTATATGATTCCTTTCCCTACAAAATATATAATTAATCCTCTGTTTTCTCAGTTCAGGCTCAATAATTTCAATTTCATTTTCTAGGATGTTAAGGCAAGTAAACTAAAGGAGAAATCAGGCGAAGAAGAAAGGACGGAGAAGGAAACTAGGACAAAGAATCCAAGCATTGATCATGCAACTTATGATACGAGGAGTAGTAATTCAGGTGATATTTCAAAGGTAAGGGGCTTGGTTCGAATATCATTCACTATTGCATTCCATAACTTGCTTCGGGAAATCTGGTGCCAGTGATAATGAGTTACTAGTATGTTATTTGACTGAAGTCTGGTGCTCTCCTGGTTTGTACTATGATTAGGCTGTAATGAAAAGCCAAATATGTGAGGGAAAAGAGACCAACTACAGCCTGGACTCCAACATTATACCAGAAAGATCATACGAGATTTCACCATACAAATTTTCCGACGATGAAGATGAAGAAGACGAGGACGATGATGATAAGCCCAATACAAAATTTATTCCCTCCTGGTCCAGGTTTGTTCACTTTAATCTTCTTGTCATTTCCGATTTCATTGTAGAATTGCTCGTAACACCCGGAGAAGTTGTCAACCAAAGCAAGTAGTACTTCGAAAACTATTAAAAGATGTAAATGATTGTGAAATGCTCAAGTGATTCCATAATATTTTGAACTGTTTGAGGACGATGAAATTATTAGAATATGGAGTTATGTATGAAGTGACTGAGCTATCCCACTGCCTTGGAAACTTTTATTTAAAAGAAAGAATATAATTGTAAGCATAGATAAGCTGAAGGAAGATGGGATCAAGAGCCAACAAACATGGGACTGATATTTCTATACGGGGTTTTTCTTTTCTGCAGAAGAAGTGGCATCACGTTTACCATCTTGTCCCAGCAAGCAAAGTTAGATCCAGCAACTATTTTCCCGCTCGAAAGCTTTGTCAGTAAAGATCAAGGTAAGCTCTTCATTCCCTCTCTCTGTCTCCATTGCTTGACAGTCAAGAATATAACACCGGACTGTTTCTGCTTCCGCTGCAGTTGTCTTGCCCAGAAAGCTCCGGCTCCTATAGTTACAACACGAAGGCAAACGACGGTCCATGTTCAGGCAGTTGAGGCTCCAAGAAGCCATAAATTCTTTTTACAAGGTCTTTTTGTACATCTAACTCCTTTTTTGTTATCTGACCAGAGCTAGGGTTAATGCGATGTTATCTCTAAGGGAAAGTAGGAACTCTCTGCCTTAGAGAGAGAGAGAGACGACCTAAGGGACAAGGGTTGGCTGCCTAGCTAGTCTACTTACTTATGGAGATGTTCTCTGTGCGCTGCTATGTTAAATGGCTACTTACCAGCTAAGTTTCTTGTTAATGCCTAAACAGCAGGAAGCCATTGCTCTCCTTTTATCTAGTCACTGCTCTCCATCAGAAAGTAATGCGACATGCGATTGTGCAGTAAACCGACTTGGTTATTGAATAAGGCAAATGTAGATATGTGCTTACACAATAATTTGATTGTGATCAGGCAACCATGGATGTCAAAATATGATACTTATAGTTAGTTATACCTGCTCATCCAACATATTCGGCAAATTGGTCAGAAGACGAAAACAAAACATTCCTTATCGACAATATTCTTATGCAAGTGAAATTATGTTGTATTGTGATGATATGTAAGTGAACCATATATTCTTATCTAAAAGCCTTAGTTTAGGGTTTACTATTCATTAAGAGGATTTTTGGTAATTTACATCAATTTTAGTGACACTTTTGGTTGAACAATCGAAAGACTCAAATACGAACAAATATGTCGATTTAATGATGGAAAAAAAAAAGAAAAAAAAAAGAGGATTACTCAAAGATTGATTAAAAGCCAACCAATCACACATATTCGGATCACATATATATTGGGGATGCTTTTCCCCTTTTCGAGTTTTTATACATTGATGATCTTTGTGAGTTTTTCGGATATTTAACTAGAGATAAGCTGATCATGCGTACTTTAATGAATAAATGTGACATTTAGTCACTCTCCCTTTAGTTTCCGTCCAACTCCATTAATGGAGTTGGACGGAGGCTCGGAGGCTAACGGAGAGTGACTAAATGTGACACGTTTCAATAATTCGAGTGACATTCATAAAAAAGAAAGTAATTCGAGTGTCCAGAGTTGGACGGAAGAGTGACTAAATGTGACCCATTTCAATAATTCGAGTGCCAAAATTTATATTAATTTTTGCTCGTAACTAAACATAACACGATTTAGTAATCCTAATGAACAAATGTGGCATTTACCCAATGAATATGCAATATTATTATACACTTATCAATCATAGAATTAGTGACAAACATGTCGTGCATGCGAGATAAAGATAATACATTCTACAATTGACAAATCACACATCTAACGATCAAGGACGAGCAAAACGAGTTGGTTTCAGAGGAAGATGACAGGAAAAATTAAAACAAAAAAACCCCATCAAACCAAACAGAATCTAACTATTTTTGTGATTCTTCAGTCATAATCATTTGATGAGACACATCGACAGATTGTTTTTTAAGTAACGTATGATGATGGTTACATGTACAACCCAGAAGCAGACTCACTCACATTACACGTACAAAAAATATAGCCCTAATCTGGATCCCTCAATTCTCACTGTCTGTCGGCCAAGCCCCGATCTCTACAACAGCTGCAGTAAGAAAAGACCAGAGCTTCAGCAGCACCAGGATGATAGCAAACACACATATATGGGGGGCCGTAAGCAAGCATTGGTGTCTTAAATTTCACAAGGATTCTGGACTCATGGACGGCCTGATTCTTGAAGGCATTCTCAGTCCTGCGCTGCTGTTATTCCTGGGGGTGATGGACATTTTGTTCATCGCATAATCAAATTCGTCCATTTCAAGATCATTATCACCATAACTCCTTGATATTATCACTTCTTCCATGTCATCATCAAACTCCGCAGCACCCTCAACTTCCCCGTCACTACCATCTTCCTCGTCATCGTCATCAATATCTTCATGGTATGTGGTTCTGACGTACTTCCAGTACACATAGTTCGGCCTTATGAAGCTTCTGAATTTCACAAAGTCAATAAAAAATCGAGTATAGTTGGTGAGATAAGAAAATGAGGGAGTTTTGGAAAAGACTATTCAAAATATAACTAGAAGAAAAATATTCTAATTTCACAGCAGCAAAGTCGGAAATGAATATTATCAATTGAGGGTATAGAGTTTGTCGATAATACAAAAAATGAGGGAGTTTTGGAAAAGACTATTCAAAATATAACTAGAAGAAAAATATTCTAATTTCACAGCAGCAAAGTCGGAAATGAATATTATCAGCTAGTTTTGTACCTGTCAGCATTTTTCAGAAGACATGGGTCAAATGGGAAGAACATGTCGAGCCGCTCCAACCCTCCAAAGTCTCTAGATAGATTTGACACTAGTAGATCCTCGAAAACGAATGTTTTGGACGAGGTGAATAGACGGGCAGCTTTTGCCTGTTTAAGGAACTCTTCAACAATTGATGGCAAACAAACCTGTCCAAGGAAACAGAAAAGGGAACATTTAGCAACAAAATCAGACTACTGAAGTAGCAATTTAAACAATAAAGCAACAACTTGTCCCACCTTCAGAGGATCGAGTTTATGTTTGAAGATTTTGTCTATAGGCATGCAAAAGAGTTGCGATTTGAGCAAAGGGATTTCCACCATCAACCGCATACGGAAGCACAAAATGTACATCATTGCCTGGGAAACAAAGATTCAAAGATCAGAATCCCTAACTTGAACTTATTAAGCTCCAGCATCAAAGGCACCAGAAAACGTACTTGGCATCCAGAATAGAAAACTTGATGGAGCTTGGGGTTCATATCACCATCATGCATCACACAATATTGCCAGCACCAGTCCACCAGCCTGCAGCTCACAAAACAACAAAAGCAGGATAGACCATCTGAGTGAATACAAATGAAGTGCTGAAACTTCTAGTAATGAAATTATTACATGATCAAAGGACAAGCAATATAAAGTGATAAGTGAACATGAGACAACAAAAATGTCCCCTAACCTTCCCAAATAGCTAGCAACAAATGCAGGAGGAAGAAACTTCCCACGAGCTAAGAAGCTAGCAAGATATGCTACAGCACTCATCCTGATAGAAGACAAAGAAACAAGTTTAATAACCACGTACTATCATTCAAGCCACAGAATTTTTCTTTCTAAGAAGCATACCTGGTAAGAGGATTATGACCACCAACAAACATATCAATCAGCTCACTAGCAAATTCTGTGCCACAGTGTTCAGGATCCAGGGCACAGGCATAGAACATTACAAACTGCAAAGACAAATAAATAGCACTCAGTAATGAAAAAACTTGCTCATCTCATCAACTTCCTTTCACACTATGCAGTACCAATCATTATAGATTTAAATTGATATTAATGTTTTGCTAAAACAGACACCTACTGAAATGACATAACACCGATCAGTTTTCTAAAGGTATGGGTCATCATTCCCCAACTTCTGAGATGGGCCTTATCTCATTCCGCCATAAAATGACTTAGGATACCAAAAAGACCATGTCAAGACAAATCATGGCTTCCTATTCGTTAACCTTGGCAAACACTTCTACAATATCAAAGCTTAGTATATACACTGTGCAAAGATGCAAATGCGAACATAAAAGGAAAGATCTGTTACCTGTGTGAACTTAGACTTGTATGTGTTTAAAACAGTATCTTTAAATGAACTTAGGAGAGTATCGAAGACCTACAAAGAACAAGAGAAAAAAGTTTTAGACGATTCTCAAACAAAGGAATCAAAGGAAATAGAGATAAAATAGAGGTTTAGCAGTACCTCACTCAAACGCTTATTCGAAACAGAGGACTCCAAATGCTCAAAAGTTTGCACCATTAAGCTATCAAGCAATTCAGCCGTGAGATTCTTGGACAAACTCTTCTCACTTAACGTGCTCGGAAGCTGTACAAAGAACAGATATTAGCACACGATTGCTTGCTTCTAGAAAAAACTGCAATAAAAGCAGTTATGCAAAATATAACACCCAACAAGAGAACTACATGGCGGCAATTATTCAATGAATTGAAACTTAATCTTCAGACAGGTCATTTTATGCTCAACCAGTGCATGTTTAATGGTACAGAAAACCAACATGAATCCAATCAAAGTATGCACTGGTGGTCTAATTATCAAATTATACCTTGCCATCTGCATCTGCATCTTCATCACCATCAGCATAGTTCTCATCTTCCAGCTCAATCATAAATACACCTTTGCTAGAATCATCATGCAAAATGTCATCCCAGCCAATTGCCACCTATGCATTTATTCATACAGCACAATTAGCATGCACTTGTTTTATACAGAGCAATGAGCAGTTTGTAAAGCCTCTTTCTTTCAGGGCAGTACACTGATTGTTTTACTTACATCCAAATCTCTCAGTACATTCATCACATCCTTCAGCATATTGGCACCAACAAATTCCCTAATTGCACCACTCTCCAACTTGAACATGTTCTCGACATAGATAAGCTACAAAAAGCAAGTAGATAAATTATCAGAAGACAACTAACCTTCACCAAATAAATCCAATAAAGAAATTCAGTAGTCGCCATCTCTTCAACAATAACTAACATTACATGATTATTTTCGGCTCAGGTGAATAATGAAAATGATAGAAAACACACCAGAAGGAAAAGGTGAAACATTAAACAATTGAAACAATATCAGAACTCAAGCTTGAAAGATAAATGAATACGAAAAGGAGATCCAGAATTGATCAGAAGTAGTTTATCATCGCAGCAGTAACTGCTGCGATCCAAATCATAAAAAAATCTGAGTCCTTTGACATTTTTTTTACAAGTGAAGTTGGCCCCAAGACCCCTGGGCCACCCCGTTGGGTCGACTCCCTTCAAAATATGCAATACCAATGTAGAAGGATATTGAGCAGAAGAACCAATCACTGCAACTGGAGATCTAAAGATATCATAGGAAATCATATTCTCACCATTCAACAAACAACACTGTGATAGTCCACTATAAGCAAAGAACCACATATCAAAGCAATTAACTCACTTGACGCTTCATAGACCATTGGTCCACATTTCGTTTAGATTTCCAAGGCATCTGTTCCAAGACAATTGATGATAGCCTTGATGCTGCCATGGGAACCAACTCAGAGATATTTTTCAGAGCGGCATGAACACGGGGAAGAACTCTTTCTTTTTTCTCCAGACCACGTGGTTGCTTTAGCATATCTAACACTTTATTTGGAGGGGTGAAATTGCTTACGAGCATATCCAAGCATGAATCAACATGTTTTCCATTTGAAGCAGCCTGTTGTTCATTGACATAAGCAAAAAACAAACAAACATACTAAGGTATCAATGACTCCTTCACATGCTTGTGTATTCTACAGAAATCGGCAGCTGTTCTAGAGATGAATAACCTACCAACGATACAATTAGCTCGAGCAATGCATCGATCACATCAGGCCCAAAGTTCCACAGGGACAGGTTAAATATCTGATGAGAGCTTAGATGTCAGAACATAATATCTTTTATGAGATCGATAAAGCATCACAGGCACACCGACTTACAGCTTTAAGAAGTTTCTCATGGTGAAGATCATCAATGTCAGCTACTGCCCCAGATAGTGCCTTAGTACTTGTCTGCATAAAGAAAACTAACAGAAGTCCTTAAATGGTCCTGAAAATTAAAATCTTGATGGACCATACATGTGGAACCGCCAGACATGGCCTAACAGATAATTTTAAGAATAGAACTTACCAAAAGAAGGGCCGCCTCATCAGGGGCAAGACGCCCAGAAGGATTCATGACATCTACAAGTCTTCTGTAGCTCTCAGTATCACCCTAAAACAAGAGATCTCAGCTTAGCATCACTGCTTGATTATATCGCCAGAAAACATATACCAAGCTTGCATCCAACACCATCTTAATTAAATTTATAGATAGCAAGTCTTGAGTAAACAAGACTAATTGCTTGAAATCTACCTTTGAACCCTTAATGTTGTTCACAGATTGGCTTTGGAAAAGGGCAAAGTACAACCCCCCAACCAAACCAACCTTTTCATCGGTTCTGTAGACTCAAACTGATTTCATCTTCAAGAAAGACCAGAGAAAACTAAACTGAACCAGTTTAGTTTGCATAAGTATGAGGATTGATGGCTCCTGGTCAAAGAATGAAAAATGGATCGGTCAACGCAAGGCGCCCTCTGATTCAATTTATTTTGGCATCCATGATTTACATCATGGGGAAACCTAATGAGAAGTTGTAAAGCGGAAACGTCAGAGCTAATGTCCTTATGTCGAGTAGGAGCATTTAGTCCTAGTTAACTTCAAAATGAACCGTCACCCAGATCTCTAAGATAAATTCAGTATCAATTATTATTAAATCAAGTTAACGTCCCATCATTCAAACTTTCACATTTCAACTTAATCAGGTTCCCAACTAGGAGCACCCGGAAATCATGATTTTTCATATCGTTCGCACTCTAACAATATCCGGGAATGCTGACCTATAGAGCAAATAATTTTATAAGGAAAGCATGGGTATGTCTCCAAAAATGCGCACAATACAACGGTGATCAAACCTTGTAGCCAATAACTACAAGGTGTCCTGAGACTACAACCAACCTAGTAGGCCAATTCACTACCCAAAAAATGACCTGAGGGGAAAGACTGAACAAAGAAGATTCGGCTGCGAAAGCTCTAAAATTTGTAAGCATCTTAGAGTCCAACACTCCAGCTACATAGGAGTCACTCGGATTCCCTTCATGAAGAAGGGGCAGCTTAACAAGCGGCAGAAATTACTCAGCTCATGTGAAGCAAATAGGGATGGGTATCCTATTGACAAATTAAGATGCAAACAACTTACCGAAGAAACAGACTTGAGGGCAAGCCTAAAGCTATAAACCAGCTGGGAATCAGTGAGACTAATATCTTCTTCCATTTTGGCGTAGTTAGTAGCTACTTCCACACCCATCAGAGAAATTACACAGCGAAAGTTAAACCCTATCGATGGAAGCTGAAATAGTACAAAAAACCAACATCAGAAAGTTCCATGTAATTAGGTAACGTAAGCACTAAAACGGGGAGAAATCATACGTCGAACGAAATTCGAGAGGCCGCGAGAGAAGGCAGCGGCAGAGGAACTTGACGCGTAATAAACCCACCTAGAGTTAGCAGCAACGGAACTCCAATCAGCCGGCGAGAAGGAAAACTTTTGAGGCGCGGATTCAAGAGAAGAAGAGCGCTTGATATGCTTCTTCTTCTTCTTCTTCTTCCCCTTCTCTTCCTCTCTGCCTCTCGAGTGATGGCGGCGGCCGCGTGAGAAGTGAGAAGAAAGGAGAGAGCTATGCTATTAAGAATGGCCGCCCCTGATTTACCATCTCTTTTCTTTTTGTTTTTTAACAGTCTTATTACTATTTTGATTTTCCTAGAAGGATGGGGTATTGCCGTATTGGTCGAATTGCTTATTAACTATTAAGGCCCAAACACATCGCAAGCCGTTTCACTTTGGGTCCAAACTCCAAATTCCCTCTAAGGTGATATTTGTACGTGGGCAACGGGCAGTGCCGCCCACGGGCTAGCACGGCACGGTTAGAGCACGACACGAGCACGGGCACGAAATAAATGGGCCAGCCCAGCACGAGCACGAATAATTGATGGGCCGTGCCAGGCCTAAACTTCATGGGCACGAGCACGAGCACGGGCACGGCACGGTATATAAGTGGGCCGTGTCAGGCCTAATATTTTCGAGACTTTATTGAATATAAGAACGAATGTGATAGGAAAATAATATTTATTTGATAGAAATAAATATAAAAATAATTATAGGTTCAAATATTACAAAACACAAGTAGAAAAATAATTATTTGTTGTTGTTAGAAGTGTCATAAAGATATATACGTAATTACTAACATAAGTAAAAATGGACAAAGAATTAAACAAAGCCAAATCACACTCGCTATACTTCCAATTTTATCCCCCCCCCCCCCCCCGATTTGTTACTTTTCTCAAACATTATCGGTTAATACTATCTTCCTTCGTCCAATTTTCACCTTCCTTTTCATTCTCTTTATTGTATCGTCCTTTTCATTAAACACAAATACGAGCATGGCACGGCACGATTCGAACCGTGCCCGGGCCTGGGCCGGGCCTAGCAAAGTTAACAAATGGGCTTGCATGGCACGACACGAAAACTGACGGGCCGTGCCAAGCACGGCACGAAATAAATGGGCCCGAAGCGTGCCCGTGCCGTGCCGGCCCAAGCACAGCCCAGCGCCCATGTAAAGTGATATTCCTATATAAGGAGGCTCAACTAGAGATATTGATGATAGTGACGATATCCACCTTGATACGGAGCTGGAGCTTCTAACTAGGATGAATGCGCTAACTATGAATATGATACCGGAAATAGACCGATTTTATTAAGGGTGTTCAAACTTCAAACGGTTTGGTTACCATGGTAACCTTTTTAACCGGTACTATTTGGATAATTTGGTTTGGTTAATTTGGATAATTGGTTTGGTTTGGTTAAAGTTTTTAGCTTGTTTGGTTTAGGTGGTTTGGTTTGGTTTCAGAGACTCCTAACCAGTCAAACCAAATTAACCAGTTAAGTAATTAGTCATATATGTAACATATATTATATACACATACTTAATACTTTGCATAACCACTCAAGAGTTAATGTTCATTCCTTTTAGACTCATAAAATATAAAGCTCATCTTGCTCACATAGTGTATATTTGTATATGTAAAATGTAGACCACAACATATGGACGCCTAATTTAGATAAATTTCATACATTATGATGGATGAAAACTTGAAAGGAGGTCATTTCCAGCCTATGATAATTGCTAAGAGACTAAGTCAATTTACACAAACAAAATAATTCATTAACCCATACCATTGTCATAAATTTTTGTTAGTGAATACTTCTATACTAATCGTAAGATAATTGTCTTAATTGCATGTATTTTTTTTAAGGGTCAACTATAACTACGTGTTGGTTGTTATGTTTTATTCATTATATAAATTGCGAATTGTTGCATTAACCGGAAAATTTTCATCGTCAATGATAATGTGATTTTATATTGGTTAATCTGGTTAACCAATTAACCAAACCGATTAAACTTTAGTTTGGTTAATTTGGTTGTTGTATTAGTTTGGACGGTTTGGTTATGATATTGTATCCCATGGTTAATGGAATTTGGCCTTATTTTGTTTGGTTATAACCATGGTAATCATTTGAACACCCCTAGATTTTATATCACCCTTCAATTCGAATTAGCAAAAGCAATGTCTCCTTGCATAATATGGATTCCGGGAACAAAACTCGAATCCACGGGTATCCTATCTGATCCAATTCGCGTTGACGGGCTTTTGGGTCATGTTTAGGTTTGAACCCATACACTATTCATGGGGTTGTGTTGGGTTTGGGTTGGGGTTGGGGTTGGATTTAGGAATACCCGACTCATGGATACCCGCCCACACTTATTTCGTCGCCCTACTCTCCCCAAACACTACCATAATTCTAATTTCTCTCAATCTAACTCCCACTACACTTATTCTGTATGCTTTTAATTAGTGTAATTGTGATATGTTTGAATTTTCTAGACTAGTTTTTTATGTATGGATAATTTGTATGGAGATATTGATGTTTGAATTTCATTTTGATAGGAACTTGTTATTGTAAATTTTTTACCATAAAAATCCATGGGTACCCATGAACCCGCGGATACCCAACGGTTTGGGTTGGGTTTGAGTTTTTCAAACCCATTGGGTTTTACCCCGAGTTTTTTTTACGGATAAACCCTTGGGTTTGGCAAAACCCGACCCAACCCGACTTATTGCCATCCCTAGGCTCAACCACTCTATGCAAGAGACTCGATTCCATTCCTAGAATAAACGGTATAGGAGGTGTATCGAAAAAACTAGGAATAGGATATTTTATACTAAAATCGTGGTTTAACCGTGTCTCCACCGATTCATGCCACTAAAATTAAGGGTGGGAATTCGGTTGCGGCTTCGCGATTAAACCTCTAACTGCACCGAAACCGCATGATTTGCGCTTTAACTGCAATCGCACTCGAATAACATGTAACCTCAATTTAATTGATTATTAACGCGGTTAGCAGTGATTCAGTGACCCTTGATCCATCCTCCCGCATTGACAGCAAAGCCCACAACCCAAAATTTCCGCAACTCATCAGAACAATTACTAATGTAGTTAACAACACTTTTGCGATTAGTGGTTAACTGCAAACCGTTTGCGGTGGGGTCGCAGTTAACCGCAACCACACTGATTCCCGACCCTAGCTAAAAATGCCTACTAGTTAGACTGTATATGTAGATCAATCGCAAACTAATGGAAAAGATAAACAAAAGCGTATTACGTGGTATCCCTATAATCCAAGACTAATCCACAAAAGGGGGAAGACCCATCAAGATGAGTTGATGCCTGCATCCGATAGAGTGGCAGCAAATGCTAGTCGAGTTGCTCGACTGCCCTCGCAATCTCCTCCTGGCCCACGATAGTTGCATGCTCTGCGATCTCCTTCAACCACTCGATCGTTCCCACCCCCGCGGTCATAAGCAGCAGAAGAAGACCCTCCAGTGTACGAAGTCGAATGCCTTCATGAGGTCCACCTTTATTGCACACCTCGAAGAAAGATGTTGCCTTTGATATCCACTAAATAGCTCCTGTGCAAGCAGAATATTGTTCATGATCCTCCTGCCCTAAATGAACGCAGTTTGATTGGAACAAATGTTGTCAGAACCGAACCGTAGTATGAACTAGTATAGAGAACGGCTCGAACTTTAGTTGTCTAACCAGTATTAAACCGTTACAAAACCGTTAATGAACTTATATCTAATTAACAAGAATATTCTACACTACACACATTCTAGCACACTAAATCATGAGTACATAATTCATAAACAAATTAAAAATATAATTACTAAATTAAAAGTACTGAGTACAAACCTTAATCTTCCAATTTAATTAACCATAACATAATAGGAAGGAAAAAATATAAAAAAAATAATTCAAAAGCTACCTAACAAGTGTGTACCAGAAAATGAAAAGTGAAAAGCAGGGGCGGACCTACTCCTGGTCAAGGGTAGTCAGTTGACACATCTTGATAAAAAAAATTGTAGCAAATCAGTAAAGTAAAATATATATGCTTGTTGGTAGGATTTAAACCTTTCACACTTTGACAAACCTTACAACTAACTAGGATTTCCATAATGCATGCCAGCAGTCATTTGTTGTTTTATGAATACAAATAAATATATAAAGAACCCAAACTAAATCCTAATTAAGTTTGCCGAGTCCAAGTCTATTAGGTTTATTTAATTCTTCTCTCCTCGAGTAATGAAAACTCACAATATGGTTTATTTACTCCAAGTCTATTACAGTTTATCTCATTCTGTTTCTCCTTTCAGAATAAGAAAACATGTTGTGGTTCGCTATGAGAAATGATGAATCATTGTACTTTATGAAATAGTCTTTTAATTTTATTTGATAATTAATTAATTAATTAATTATTTTTGTGAATACCCTTGACAAAAAATTTGGGTCCGCCACTGGTGAAAAGTGGAGGTCGCTTACTTATTACCTTTTTGCAAACGCTAACTGTAAGAGGCATTGTCGTCGCTCTCTCCTCTCTCAAATCGGTTTCAACTTTTAATTCTCCCTCGCTGTTCTTGACGAACAACAATTTACCATTATTCAACATCTGGTTCTCTTTCGATGTTTGGGATTCTTCTAATCCGTAGTCAGAAACGATTGTTCCACTCCATCCCTCTCTCTGTTTCCTCTTCCCTCAAGCTATCAATCTATCTATCTCTTACTCAATCTGACTTCTTCTTAAATTCTTTCTGGAAATGGCGATGTCTATGTAGGTGGGGATTAGTCTTCGCCATTAATGATGACAATGACGGAAGACAACTGCTCGATTGAGAAGCCACAGGCAACCGAACCCTAAATCCAGTAATTTTCAGAAAAAATTAACCAGACGGCTAGAAGGCAAAAACTGGTTGAACGATTTGAGCGGCTCGAATGGCTAACCATTTTGGCTGCTCACCGAACGACCTTTCTTACCGTTGCGGTTCTGGGGAAAATCCGACCTAGACTGGTGGTCGGGTGTTGGTTTTATCGGTCCGACCGACCGGCTCGGGTCGGCTTTAATAACACTGATTGGAACCGATAATAAGAGTCATAGCTTGACGAAGCCAATTAGCCAGAATATTTGACGCACATTTATAAAGGACATTTACGCAAGAGATTGGCCGGAACTCCTTTAGTGTTTTGGTATTAGCTACTTTGGGGATCGAAGAAACTATTGTGGCGTTAG